AGTCCCGGAGGCACCTGCTTGAATGTGGAGTGCCTCAAGGGGCAGTGCTTTTCCATATCTACACGCGCCCCCTTGCCCAGATTTCCCAGAGGTTTGGGCTGGAATGTCACCAGTACACTGATGACACCCAGCTCTATCTGATGTTCGGCGGTCAGTCAGACTCCAGACCGGAAGATCTGGACCGGGCATTGCACGCCACGGCTGGTTGGCTCAGGCTGAGTCGGCTGAAGCTAAACCCAGCGAAGACAGAGGTCCTGTGCCTGAGTTGGGGCAGTTCGGAGTTGGGGCTCCTGCTCTCGGCCTTTGACAGGGCGCCATTGGTGCCTGCGCCAGTGGTTAGGAGTTTGGAAGTGCTCCTGGAACCCTCTCTGGCAATGGAGGCCCAGGTAGCAGCCACTGCTAAGTCGGACTTCTACCATCTGCGGCTCATTCGGCAGTTGGCTCCCTTCTTTGATCACGACAACCTAGCTACAGTGATCCACATGATGGTCACCTCGAGGCTAGACTATTGTAATGCTCTCTAAATGGGGCTGCCCTTGGTGCAAATCCGGAGGCTGCAGCTAGTGCAGAACGCCGCGGCCAAGCTATTGATGTGTCTCCCTAGATGGGAGCACATCTGGCCAGTGCTGAAGGCACTGCACTGGCTGCCAATAGCATACCGAATTCACTTCAAGGTGCTGGTACATACCTTTAAAGCCCTATATGGCCAGGGTCCAACATACCTGAGGGACTGCCTTTCCTTGTATATACCCTAGAGAGCACTACGGTTGGGGGTGCAACATCGACTGGTTATTCCAGGCCCCAGGGAGGCCAGGCTCACAGTTACTAGACCACTATTAATATCTGTTGTGGAGGCTGGCTGCAGTGAGATCGAGCCAAACCACCTCGGAGCCTGTAATTGACTGAGCCTGCATGACATGTTACGCCATCTTGGTTAAATATCACTGAATGCACTTTAATCAGACATCATTGATTGTTTGAATGTTTTAAATTTTTTAACAGTGTTAAATATTTTAAGTTTTAAATGTTTTGACTGTATATGAACCTTGGCACACTGTGCCCTGAAATGTGAGCCGCCCTGAGCATGTTTGTGGGGAGGGCGGGTTATAAATACAACAAACAAACAATAAATAAATATGTTAAGTTGCAGCTGACTTTTGGCAACCCTGTAGGGTTTTCAAGGCAAGAGAAGAACACAGGTGATTTGCCATTGCCTGTCTCTGGGTAGCAACCTTGGAATTACTTGGTGTTCTCCTATCTGTGCACTAAATGGGGCTGACCCTGTTATGTTCTGAGATCTGACAATACATCAAGCAAAACCGTGTCATCCAGGTTAGAGCCACCAAGGAACTAGGGAAAGCTAAATGTCTCATAGTATCTTTGCTGTGTGGGGTTACATTTTTCAAATCCCATTAAGGTCAATGGGATAAGAAGTGGATAAGAAGGCTTAGGATGGCACTGGTAGTGTTGTACACTCAACTCATCACATGACAATAAAATAAACCTCATGGTCATTGAAGGATGTAAGCAGGCGGTCTTTAAGATGTTCACTCTCTGAGGGCCAGTTGTAGCTCCTCTGGCTTGCTTTAGACAGCAGCTGCAAAAAGATGCCCAAACATATTTTCTCTAGCTCTGTGAATGTTGCAAAGTCCTATAATTTTTTAAAAACACGGTAATTAACTCAGGCATTCCAATATGAGATTTGCAAATGAGATAGCACAGCACTTTGGATTCCTGAGTAAGTAATACTGGCATTGCCCAAGCTTTAAATACTGCTTATTTAGAAACTCCTTAGCAGCTGAGCCAGTAGTCAAATAGGTGTTTTACATTTAGTCATGCATAGATCGAACTAATCTGATCTTCTGTATTCCAGCTAGAAATTATTCTCTGAGCCTTCTAAGCTGAAGTTTTTTCCTCCCAGTTTTGCTAACTGAGGTAATTGAACCAGAAATTCCAGAGATGAAATCTGAAAAATGCCAAGCTTGTGCTCTACCAGAATATTTGAATGTTTCTACAATGTTTAGCATGCTGCCAATAATGCAGAACTTCTGCTTCAGCAAATAGTGAAAGAAAGAACAGATTTGATGTCTCAAAATGTCTTTTTTATTGTTTCTGGTGCTTCTGCAGTTTCCTTGTGTTGACTGTAGGAAGTCATTGACCATGTGTATATTCAAAAATTCCTTTTCTGGACTCCATACATATTACAAACCAGGTGATTATATCATTGGAGGCATTCTATCTCAGTTCAGTTCTACACCCTCCATACTGACTTACAAGAGACCCCCAATGCCTACACGAATGAATTCTGGCATGTAAGTAGGTTTGTTTCTTTTTTTCCCCCTGAAAGATCAAAGCCATCCATAGGGTTGGATCCAGCTACCTTTTTCACTCAATCTTCCCCAGTGCTCCTCTGTACTATAACCTCCACCCCACATGGCTGTTCTCCATGCTGATCCCATCATTCCTGAAATCTCCATTATGGGAGGATCAAAGGGGACCCCTCCTCTCCTTTTTTCCTAGCAGAAAAGCTACTTGGATCTCACCCATAATCTAAAATTACTCAATATAATATAAAATGAGAATTTCTTTTAATGTTTTCTGTATTTTTAATGGATGATTTAAGTTATGTAGAAGCACTGACTTGAGAAATGCAAACATAATGAGAAGACTGGACATACTGATGAAACAGCAATATCTCTGGAAGCATTTGTAATATATTTATTTATGATTTATTTGTAATATATTTATGTGCTGCCTCTGCAGAATTCAACTGTAGGCAGCTTACAGTTACAACATTTGTTTAAAATATTTATATGCCTCTTTCCTCCTGAGGATCTCAGGACCTGAGTATTTACTACTTCAATACCATTTAGGGTCCTTCATTCATATGTGATACAAAAATGAACTAAGGAGTAGAAACACCTTTCCACACAGTCTTCCGCTACATTCCACGGCTCATTTCATTGCTGGACTGATACAGTGGACAAGCCTACCGTCCCACTCAACACTGGTTATAGCAGTCAGGCATGCCTCTATTCACCTGGCCATTTCTTTTGCTATTTCCTGCCACAATCATTCAACTCCCCCTTCTCCATCAACTGGATATCATTCATTTATTTAAAATATGTATACCCTACCCCCCCAGTCATTAAAAACTAGCTTGACAGTCTACAGAAATATAAAATACACATGGAAAGGATTGACTCTCTTCGAAGCATGGTCACTTAAACCCAATTAGAAGAGTGCAACTTTGCTTAAAAGAACACTGCAAGTCATTCAGTAGAGCACAGCCATTGATCTGATTCGGTATTTATCTTAATCCAAGAAGTCAGGAGTTAAGGACTGGTCTTGATATGCCCAAACTCTGTTGAATTTATAGTCTATATATACATTACAGTTCTCATGAGTCCTAGAAAAAAAAATATTAATACTGGCAAGGATGCTTCTGATCTATTTTTAAACAAACAAACAAACAATATCTTTGAATTTGAGATGCAAAATGAAATTTGTTCTACTCATTAAAAATACTTAATGAATCAGATCACCAGTGTTTACTTGGATTTTGTTAATATCAATACTGTTGTAGCTAAATCTCTCTGTCTAACCAATCATAAAGGATTGGATCCAACCAGCTTTCCTGCTGGTGAATGAGAATGGATTCCCTTTGGCCATCAAAATGCTATGCTGGAGACTGTGTAAAATGCATGAAAAATAATGATGTAGGACAGGGGATGTAGTAAGAAATGGAAATGGGCAAGATTGAACTTCCCTCTCAAAAAAGCTGGCTGGATCCAACTCTGCACTTGCAAACAGAAAGGTACTGTATGGCATAAGCTATGTCGTGGATACTGCAGACTATATTTAGCAGAACAAATAAGGATATGGTGGGATCTCATTGCAGAATGCAGACCAAGAACTACCAGCATGTCCAAGCACTAGTTTTTGCTGTTAATGAGATCAATGAGGACCCCCTGCTGCTAGCCAACATATCCTTGGGATTCTGCATATATGATAATACTTTTGATTCAAGGAAGACCTATGAGACAACTCTGGCTGTTTCCTCAACCCAGAACAGAAGGCTTCCAAATTACAAGTGTGACATGAAGGACAACTTGTTGGCTCTTATAGGAGGAATAGATGCCGAAACATCTGTTCAAATTTCAAATGTCTTACACAGCTACAAAATCCCACAGGTAGGAAAGCTTCCTTTACCTTCCCAGCATATCCAGTCTAATTACCCCACTCCTGGCTACCCTCTCCCAAGCTTCTTCCTGATCCCTCATATTAGGAAGAAAAAATAAATAGAATGCTTGATGAGAAAAAGGACAAGAAAGTGCCCAGAACAGAGAGTTGAACTAGGGCCCCAGAGACACATATTTAGGTGTGACACTGATAAGATGTACCTTCTAAGCTGAAGGTACTGCACAGAATAGTTTTGTGGACTGAACTGAGGAGGCAAGAACCAGGTGGGCTGCTCCTGCGGTCCTTGGAGGTTGAGATTAAAAAGTTGGGTATGGGGGACAGGTATGTGATGATACCGCCCTACAGCACCTTTCCCTGATTAGTCAGAATGCCAGACTGATGTGGGTCCCTGAAATTTCACATCCATAGTTCCCCCTTTTGATTCCCAAATTAAGCACATTTCTAATAATTTATTACAAACTTCTCTGAATTTCTCATATTTTACAAGGTACTAAAAAAACCAGAAATAGCATTGCACTTTTCAGTGTCTGTTCCATATGGACCTTTCAGTCTTTACGAGTTTCTTGGTGCATTTTCCTGCCCATTTGGTGGTAGTTTGTTTTGGAACCACGCCCACTGTTTTCAGATTTAGGAATAGTTCCTGTCATAAAATTGCCACTATGTGTCTACAAGTAATTACAATGTTAACCACAGATTATTCGTTCATGATTTTTCCCTCCTCAGATCTTCATGTCCTTTTTTTTAGCTAGTTTATGGCTCATTTGATCACTTACTCAAGGATAAACAAAGGTTTCCTTCCCTCTACCTGATGGTGCCAGACAATGTGTTTCAATATGTGGCGATAGCACAGTTACTCTTGCATTTTATGTGGACGTGGGTTGGAATCATTGTTCCAGATAATGACAGCGGTCACATGTTTGTGCAGACCTTGGTGCCGGTACTCATTCAAAGCAGCATTTGCATTGAATTCACAAAGGCAATTCCAACCATAACCATGGATTTCAAAGGCTTGGCTCTTATGAAACTAGTTGAATCAATGAGTGGAACTCTCACAAAGGGGAAAGCGAATGTGATAGTTCTTTCTGGAGACTCCCATTCCCTGTTTGGGTTTAGATTACTGATAGCTTCATATTTACGGTGGTCAATGAAGCCCATAGGAAAAGTTTGGATTGCCTCAACTGATTGTGATATCACCTCAATAAAAACTCGGGATATCATGGATCTGCTGAGCTTCAATGCAACCCTGTCCTTTGCATCCCAGGCCAGTGAAATTCTGGGATTCAGGGATTTTCTCCACACCTTGAGCCCTCATCATATGTTTGCTGATATTTTCATACGAGATTTCTGGAAGGAGGCATTTGCCTGTGTGTTTGGAAGGGCTGGCTCTGCAACACAACGGAAGCAAAAATACTGCACTGGTGAGGAGGAGCTGGATACCCTGCCTGGGTCTGTATTTGAAATGAGCATGACTAGTCAAAGCTATAACATCTACACTGCCGTTTATACCATTGCACAAGCATTCCATTCTATGTACACTTTGAGACTCAAAAGTACTTTGAGACTGCACAGAAGATACCTGGAGCCTTGGAATATGCAGCCATGGCAGGTAATGTTTTCTCTGGAAGTCTGGACAGCTGACATGTGGTATGGATGCTCCTAGCAGCACAGGTAGTACGCTTCTGACATTCTTACATAGGAGAAGGAAGGGCTGTAGAAAGAAGTGGAGTTGGCCAAGACTGAGAGAAAAGGCTGGGTGGATCCAACCCTGGGGAAGAAAAGTAGTACGGGGAGCTTGATCTGGGCTACAGAATGTGCAGGCAAGGAAACATTTAAGCATGCCTGCATTGCTTCACTGCCCCTAATTTACTCCAGCCTGATTTTCTTTTTTTTAAAAAGTGCTGAGCTCTAATTAATTTGCCCATGCACCTTATCAAGTGAAGCCTCAACTTATGAGTTATTCTCATGCTCCCTCCTCAGTTGCTGCCTCCTCCCTGTCACAATAGACTACATGAAAACCACAGGGTCTGTGCATGTCTGTGTTAAGTACTAGGATGACACTAGCTATGTAACACTTTCAATCGATTGTAGCACTCATGCCAAAACAGGTTGCCAGTTAGGACTGCCCACAATGGTATAGTCAAACAAGCTGGTGTTATATGTGTCATAGCTTTCTGAAGCCACAATGTAACACCAGAGGTTGAGTTCAGATGGGCAGTTTGAAGTGGGAGGGAGTCATGGCAAAAAAGAGCTGGAACAAACTGTTCCAGCTTCTCCCATTCACACTGCAGCGACTGATGCGGGAGCATACCGGGAGGAGGCACAAGAGAGCGTTCACACTGTTGGCCCAGAAGCATAGCTGTAAGGTTCAGCTTTCTTTTTTTGGTAATCTGGAGATGTGCGCTTATGTGCATAGGTGCATAGGTGCTTATGTGCATAAGCAGACAAGAAAAAAACGTGGCTTTTGGTGTTCACACTTTGTTGGTGTGGGATGGACATGGGATGATCGCGCTTGCCAGGGTTTGCTAGCACTTTCACCAGGTATCTTTTAAACTCAGGAGCGAAGCGTTACAAGACGGTTTGAGTACGGGTGGGGAACGCTGGACAGATGTGCCTGTGTGAATGACCCATTTAATCCGATTGTGAAATGTTCCTCTCACACACCTATATCGGGGAAAACTGCCCGTCTGAACTTGGCCAGAGTGTGATAGGCATAATTATGTATCAAAATAATAAGAGAGCCCCCCTCCTCCTTCTTTCACCAGTGCAAAGCTAAGAGAACCCAACTCCATTATTGCTTCAGAGAATAACAAAGGCTTGGATCCTACAAACAACTTCTGTGTATGGTAGATAGTGTAGAGTGCACTTCCTCTTTTGCTACCACTTCTGTTTGCACAAGAGCTTCCTGAAAACAACTGACTTTGTGCAAATAGAAGCTCTAGAACAATAGAAAGTGCACTTTGCAGCAGGGACTACCTAGTGCATATGGAAGTTATTCATAGGATCCAAGCCATACAGTCCATCAAATAATGGCTATGTAGAATTTATTATGTAATATGGGAAAATATTGTTGGTTGCCATGTTGCAGAAAATCAGTTATAATTCTAAAGGAAAGGAGCTTATAAATTATCGTCATGCCAAATTTAAAACAGTGGTATTATTCCTTATATTTTAGCTGCATCCATTTTTGGAGAAATTACTTCCTAAAAGGAAGGATGAATCAACAACTCGATATAATATTCTAAACTGGATATTGTTCCCAAATATGTCTTTTAACCAAGTGAAAGTAGGAAGAATGGACTTTGCTGCTCCTGGAGATCATCATAATTACAGTATTGATGACGATGCTATTATATGGAACAGTATGTTTAATCAGGTGGGGATCTCAGATTCTCGGGAGCACATTTAATAGGAATGTATCTTTTTGACTGTGGAATATCAGTTCTCTTGTGCCTTTTAATTCTTGTAGGGAAAAGCCAATACCATACAGAATATTACAGAACACCAGAATACCAAAGCTATTTCTCATACACACATCCCATGATTACCCAAAACTCTCAGCCAATAATAAAGTTAGAGGGAAAATGTACTTCACACATAAAAGTCACCACTTGATGCTGTAACCGACTAGCAATAAGCCTGCATGTATAAATGAGTCCATGAAGATTTAGGATTCTGTATAGAACTTGCTCAGGTCCCTCTAGACCAGTGGTGGCGAACCTATGGCACAGAATTCTCTGCCAAATAATTTTAAGTAAATGAAAGCATTTGGGATTGCTTTCCTTACTTTGTTGGATCATCTTAAGTTAATGTACGAGTTGTTTTTTTCTAAAGTAAAACCTCAGTATTCAGGTTAAATTGCCGTGTTGGCCCTTTGCGATAAATAAATGGGTTTTAGGTCGCAGTTTGGGCACTCGGTCTCTAAAAGGTTCGCCATCACTGCTCTAGACAGTTTATGCTAGACCCAGCCCCATATGTCAGATTATTGAATTTCAGGGAGAAAGTGGGTAGAGAGGAACTTAGAGAATTTTCTTTCACAATGCTGCCAACATTCAAACTGAGAAAGGCTATGTCTTGTCTTTATTGGTAGACTGTTCCACATTCTTTGTGCACTGAAAGATGCCATCATGGATACAGCAAGATGCAACAAAAGGAACAGCCGGTTTGCTGCTATGACTGTGTTCCTTGTCCCAAAGGGACAATTTCTGATGAAATGGGTAATTTGTTTCAAAATAATGGTCATGACTTTATTGTTTTATATAAATCATAAACACTCATCATTGTCCTTAACAGTGGCACAGTGTACATAAGCCTGAAGAGTTTTCCTGGCAATCTCCCACATACAGTTGGTCGACAGACAAACACATATATATAACTTGAGTTCTCTGTACATGATCAGACACTGGATATAGTCTTAAATTCATGTAGATTTCTTCTGAGAATAAAAGTACATACTTTCATGAAACACAAGAAGCACAGTATGCTCGGAGTCCATGAACCATGCACAGTAAGGGTGTGCATCCAGGTCTATCTGCGCTGGAAAATATGTGGAAAATACCATATCACTATTTATTGCCTATTCTTTCAGCTGGATATAGTGGGGGTATGAATTTCAAGCTATCAAGCATAGCCAGACCCGGATAATCCCCCCCAAAAAAAACAGAATTATACAGGAAAAAAAGGATAACTGCAGTTAACTGCAACCTTTGGCTCCATTATAGCCTATGGGAACCATTACAATCAATGCTCTCCATAAGCTATAATAGGGAATCAATCTGAGGGTATACAGGGGTCTGGGAGTTGTTGTTTTTAGGTAGAGGCACCAAATTTTCAATGTGGCTTTTGGTGTCTCTCCTCAAAAAAACACACACACACAATTAAAAAAAATTGGACCAGGGGGTCCAATTCTATGGGCCCCCAAAGAAGGTGCAGGATAGGGACATTTTCTTTGAGGGCCCAGAGAATTTGACCCCCTGGTCCAATCTTTTTTTAAACTTGGGGGGTATTTTGAGGAGTGGCTACATTGAAAATGTGGTGCCTCTATCTCAAAAAACAGTCCTGAGATACCGTCATAGGGTATAATGGTCCCATAGGCTATAATGGAGCTGAACAAATTTGGGATTTTTAGGGGGGGAAACTGAATCTGAATACCATACTGGGTTTTTTTTGGGGGGAGTCCCTTTTTTAGGGTTCAATATCTCTGAATTTAAAAAAAATCACATTTTTTCACCCCCCTAATGTACACTCCTTCAACTCTGAATTAATGCTTCAGAATCTTGAGCACCAATTGGGATATGCCACTGCTTGTGATCTTCCAAATACTTTCACTGTATTTTGGCTACTGAGCTGCGGTGGCTCAAGTGGTTAAGATGCTGAACTGCAGGCTGTGGAAGGTCAGTAGTTCAGCAGTTTGAGACCCGAGTGTGCCGCATGATGGAGTGAGCTCCCGTCTCTAGTTCCAGCTCCTGCCAGCCTAGCAGTTCGAAAGCAAGAAATTGCAAGTAGATAAATAGGTACCACTTCAGTGGGAGGGTAACAGTATTCTGTGCGCCTTGGTGTTTAGTCCTGCTGGCCACATGACCACGGAAACGTCTTCGGACAGCGCTGGCTCTTCGGCTTTGAAACGGAGATGAGCACCGCAACCCCAGAGTCAGATTTGACTGGCTTTCAAGCAAGGGAACCTTTACCTTTACTTACCCTTGGTCATTGCAAGAAGCTTCTTGGGCATCATTAGGAGGTGCCTCTATAGTTGTTTATATGCTTTCATGGCAGATGGATCCAGGTTCAGCTCCTGGTATCTCTAATTCAAAGGATCTCAGACAGCTGTAGGTGTTTGGAAACTACAGTTCTTTGTCAGAGACACTGTCATAGTAGACAACACTGAGCTATTCTTACCAGGAGTCTGACTCTGTGCAAACCAGAATCACATGTTAATATATATTAACCTCAAGACATGATTTCTTATCCATACAGTAAGAATTCCCTTCCATGTGGGTTGGGCTGTGGTTTGTGATCTGCATACCTCATCCCTTAATGGGCAATAGTTTTGTTCTGCACATGAACATATATTGCTTGAGGTCTTTACCATGGATTACAGTTGATGAACTAAATGTATAAACTGATTGAACTTGGTTTTGTTCCATGATATAACTATACGTCATACATGCAAAGCATTAATTGTTATTGGCAGTGTTCAGACGTGTAAACCAGCTTGCGAAGTACATGAAAAATGGGAGCGGTGCCACTGCATTAGTACACTTTGAATTAATCAAGTGGTTGTTGCTGTTTTCTTTTTGTTCTTTGCTTTCAGATTCGGAGCAATGTGTAAAGTGCACAGATGATCGATACTCAAACGAGGATCGGAATAAATGTCTTCCTAAGCTGATAAGCTTCTTGTCCTATCAAGATCCTCTAGCAATTGCTTTGGTTGCATTAGCTGTTGCCTTTGCTTTCATTACAGCTTGTGTGTTGTGGGTCTTTGTGAAGCACCACAACACACCTATAGTGAAAGCCAACAACCGGGATCTCACATACATACTTCTCATCTCCCTTTTATTGTGCTTCCTCAGCTCTCTGCTCTTTATTGGCTATCCTGGAAAAGTAACCTGCCTTCTCCAACAAAGTGCTTTTGGCACCATCTTCTCTGTTTCGCTTTCTTGCATCTTGGCAAAAACCATCACTGTGGTTCTGGCTTTCATGGCCACAAAGCCAGGAAACAGAATGAGAAAAGGGGTGGGGAAACACCTGGCAAAATCTGTGATCATTTCCTGCTCACTCATACAAATTTCTGTGTGTGCTGTGTGGTTGGGAAGCTCTCCCCCATTCCCAGAGCTTGACATGCATTCACAAAGTGACCAGATCATAGTACAATGTAACGAAGGATCTGTCCTCCTGTTTTACACTGTCTTGGGTTATATGGGTATTCTTTCACTCATCAGTTTCATTGTGGCATTCCTAGCCAGGAGGCTGCCTGATAGTTTCAATGAAGCCAAGTTCATCACCTTCAGTATGTTGGTGTTTTGCAGTGTTTGGTTATCTTTTGTTCCCACCTATCTATCCACCAAAGGGAAATATATGGTGGCTGTAGAGATCTTCTCTATTTTAGCTTCTGGTCTTGGCTTACTGAGTTTCATATTTTTCCCTAAATGTTATATCATCATTCTGCAACCCAACAAGAACACAAGGGAACTTCTAATGCAGAAAAGAAAAAGTGCTGCGGTTTGATCTTTTTACCATATATTTGGGTGGTTCGTACAGTTAGCTTTCATGGAGTGTCAGTTGGCATGGTGGTGAAACACAAATATGTGTGCAACTGCCAAAATTTGCAAAATAATATTTGAAGTGGTCCATGTTTATTATAACATGCATGATCCTTCATTTTGAAAAATGAAAGCAAGATCATATGAGTGTACATACATGTTAAAAGAATTCAGAATTTCCAAATGTTTGGGGTTTAATTGAAGACAATAGGAACCTCCTATCTCTCAGTAAAACAAGATACACTTATCTTTATAAAAAAATTCCTCTCAACTGCTTGCTGTGTTCTCAATGCCTATGCTAAACTCAAAGAGCCTGAAAAAATACAACACCATGTAAAGCTAACAGACAATTATAACAATAACATTGACAACTGACACACTATTATATCACACACACACATTTCCAAAAAGTCAATTTCCAAGGCAAAATAAATATAGCAGGTGACATTAGTGCTCACAACTCAAGTCTCTTTGCTTTTGCTTTTTGTAGAAGATTGAAGCAGTCAAGCAGTCAACACGATATACCAGACTGTAAGCAGTTTCAGTTGAACTTCTTCTCTTCTTCTTTTCTTATAACTTTATTTTTATAACTTTTTCAAAACATAAAATGTCACAATACAGTCAGGTTCTCATGTTCCGGAATATAACCACTTCAGTTCTTTTTTTATAAGTGTGACATTCTTAATAAAATAACATAACTGTAACAATAACCTTAACAAAACACAAAATCTACATGTTTCGTAGGTAAGGCAGTAATAGAGTGATTCGTATTGATCATATATTCAAAAAATGTCAACCAGAGCTGTAGACATTTTCACAGGATCTCCTCCCAGTGAAAGAGCCAGTTCTGAGAAGTGTTGCTCCTGAAAATGACACAGGACATTGGGAGTGTTGTTTACCAAGTCTACTAAATGTCCTGCCAAAAATAACCTTTGGATTCTTAACAAAAGACAAAACCTTCTACAATTTAGATATTTGAGAGTTCACTAGATGGAATTTGTCTCTGCAATATTTAATGGTGGCATCTCATAGTCTTTCTTTCCACTAGTTTACTGCCACTGTTATTGGAAAACATTCCAAAACACCAGATATTACACTGCCCCTAGATTGACCCATCATTGTTAAGTGGGGTAGAGGAACACTTGCCCAACCTTTCATTTCCTACTAAATTTCATTGAACATGGAAATCAATTTCTAAGTGCCTCTCCTACCTTAGAAATGAAAAACCATTAAAATGTGTATGCAAATGTAAGCCATCCATCCTCTTTTTAAGGGGCTACCTGGAAAATGACCCAGTGTTTCATTGGAGTAAATACTGTATATATGGCATTTAAAGAGTAACTATATTAAAGATGTATATAAACACCCTTTGAGTCTCATTTTAATTTGTTGTTGTTGTTGTTGTTGTTTAATTTATACTCCACCCTATCCCATAAGTTTTGCCAGTGTTGTAATATATGGACTGGGTTCCAGAACAACATGTTTAAAATCAGTCATGTGTAAAAATCAAACAGATAGGGGCCAACATATATCACAGGAGTTAAGGTACTATTGCAATCAGGTTGCTTCTGACCACTTGTTAGATCTGTATTTCTGAAAATCAATGAACATGGGCAAATGTAACAAAAACAGGTTGCTTCTGACCACTTGTTAGATCTGAAAATCAATGAACATGGGTAAATGTAACAAAAGCAGACTTCCTTTTGGCAAATGACCATATTTTATTTTACTTAAACTATTAAGACCACTACATGGGATCCTGCTTTTTCACTCCATCTTACGCTATTATCTTCATATTACCATCACACATAGCTCTTACCCATGCAAGTTCTATTGTAGCTAGCACAGATTGTTTGGTGCCTCTCTTTTACACCACTGAAAAATCTGCTTGTATCCAGTTCTTGTGTGCCTTTCATGACTTTGTTACTGCAAAAGCCATTATGATATAAGAGGAAAAACAGTGGTGCAAACCTAGTCTTTAGGACAATATGTTTTAACTTGTCTCTGGTAGCTTTACCCTTTTTAAACCCACCCTAAAGAAACAGCTTTTCTATGTATGGCTCCGGTTAAGGTCTCTCTTACTTCCTTGTTCCGAAGGCTGTAGATCATTGGGTTAAGAAATGGAGCTATGACTGTGTAGAGGATGGACACCATCTTGTTGAGGTCAAAGGTTCCAATGGCCTTTGGTCGAGCATACATGAATATGGTGGTGGCATAGAACATAGAAACTACTGTCAAGTGTGAGACACAGGTAGAAAAGGCTTTATGTTTCCCTTTGGCAGAAGGGATTTTTGCAACTGCACAAAAAATGCATATGTAAGATGTTCCCGTCACAAGCAGTGAGGTCATCAGGACTGCTAGTGCCACCACAAAATCCAGCAACTCAATTGGTGAAGTGTCTGTGCATGACAGCCTCAACAAAGGAGAGAGGTCACAGAAGAAGTGTCTGATGGCATTTTTATTGCAAAACTGCAAATTGGAGATCATCACCACAGATGGAAAGGAAGCCAGGAAGCCACCTAGCCAGGAAGCTAGACTCAAAGTCATGAAGGCTGTATAGTTCATTAGTGATGCGTAATGCAATGGACAGCAAATGGCCAAATACCGGTCATAAGCCATTGTTGCCAAGAGGAAACATTCAGAAGAAGCCAAGGATAGGAAAAAATATAGCTGAGCAAGGCAGCCCCCCAAAGTGATGGTCTTCTCACCCAATAACAGATTGGAGAACAACTTGGGCATAGTTACTGAGACATAAAAGATTTCTAAAAGTGAGAGATTTCCTAGGAAGAAATACATTGGAGTGCGAAGGTGACTGTTCAACCAAATTGTCACAATCAGGAGGACATTTTCCAGAAGAGTTAAAAGGTAGATGGTGAAGAACAATGCAAACAATAACAGCTGATGCCGTGGGAGCTCAGGAAAACCCATAATGATGAATTCTAAGTGTGAGGTTGTGTTTTTCATTTTCTTGTGTGTCCTTTGTTACTTTCACTTGCACCTGGCTGGATGACCTTGGGCAAACCGTAGTCCTGATAAGACCTGTTCTTGAAAAAGAGCAGTTTCTGTCAAGAGCTCTCTCAGCCCCACCTACCTCACAGGGTGTCTGTTGTGGGGAGGGGAAGGGAAAGGAGTTTGTAAGCCACTCTGAGACACCTTTGGGTAGTGAAGGGCGGGGTATAAATGCAATATCTTCTTCTTTCACTGTTAAGAAAAGAAAAGTACTTGCTATGGAAAAAAAAACAAAATACAGTGTTGAGCATTTATGAAGTTGTTGATGGTCAATAAATTTAAAGACATAGTGGGAAGGAAAGGCAAAGGAATACATGTACTCAAATCTGAAATAGTGCATTAAAAAATAAGTACTACATTTGGGGATGAATCCAACAACTCCCTTCCACAAAGTGAACAATCTTGCTGTAGCAGAAGGAACCTTGCTCTAGAAGAGTTCCATTTGGACAAATTTCCTTGCTTAGTGGAGGTGTGTTCTAACCTGGACGGCCCAGGCTAGCTTGATGTCATTCCTCACACTGTTTGTTCCATCCACTTTAAGACTTCTTGCCATACCAAGTCTATTTCTGCCACATCTTCATTTCTTTGGAGAGCAAAAAATCTTATATATAGACAGGAGCCTTTAATCTGATCTTTAAAAAAGGTCTTCTCACATTTTCTTTTGCTTCCATAATTTAGCTAGAGTTAATCCAGCAGCTGTTATAACACAATTTTTTTTTAAAAAGACCACGTAATTTAACAAAAATAGTTCTTGGGTACTTTCAGTGCTATGTCTAATTCCTTTTGAAAGCATTATAGCTACTATTTGACAATATTTCCTTGCTCTAATGCAATTTCACCACATGTGTCTAAAGCTTGCATGTGGTTCAACACAAGACTAGTAGTGGTCATTGAATACTTAGAATCATAGAATCATAGAATGTTAGAGTTGGAAGGGACCTTGCAGGTCATCGAGTCCAACCCCCTGCACTCTGCAGGAGCATAGCCGAAAGATAGCCCTACAACGTACCCAAAAGACGGTCGTCCAGCTTCCACTTAAAAACATCCAGCAAAGGAGCATCCACCACCTCCTGAGGCAGTCTGTTCCACTTCTCAACCACGATTACAGTTAGGAAGTTTCTCCTGATATTTAGCTGGTAACAACTCCCTTGTATATGTTCTTGCCAGTCTCACCAAAGAAAGATGCCACAGATACATGTTGATATATTTTCTCTTAAACCAACATAATACCCAAGTAGCACAAAAAGTTCCAAACCCTATTATTAATTTCATTCCCTAATTTGCATTGCCATTGTTAACATATTCCTGACCAGACATGCTATAGAATATAGACAGAGCACCATCTCCATTTAAAATAATGATACATCCAAAGGTTGTCAATGCATTTTTTCCCCACTGGTATTCTGGCTATCTTGAACTCTGTAGATCACAGGTAACTCATACTGTGTCAATCATACTCTCCTTTTAATTGGTTATGTATCCAACTGGTTCATATTTCTGTTTATGATGTAACCGGTTGTTAGGATTAGCTTGCCTGCTTTATGAAAACGTGTATTAGAATTTTTCCATGGCATGGATTAGAAACTGTATATTTTGAGAATGAAAGGATTGGTCTTTGAAAAATAAGGAATCACATCTTTGTATTGTTGATCTTTGATGAAGGAAATTATTAATCCAGAGAGTTTCATCAGCATTACCTTGTGAATACTTCTTTGATTGTATGTCTGAAAAACAGAAGAACATGGAAATAAGGTAAAGCTTAGAATGGAACTGTAAAATACATTCTTCCTAACTCTGGGTGGAACATACCTTCTTTTAAAAATGTATGTAGAACATTAAGACAAATTTGTTTACCTACCTTCATCTCTGTGTAACTCTGAAATTCCATAGATGTCCTCCTTCTGACCTCCATTAAAAAAGATGCACAATTTGAGAAAAGCCTTTTCAAATAATCCAGATTGTGGATCCTAATTATAGCTACCTCCTTATAAACCTTTGGGAATGTAAATCCTAACAGATTAAGAAATTCTTACCTCATTCATTACTTTTCCCTAGGGAAAATTCTTCCCATCTTATACCAATTTGTTAATAAGTCTACCAGGATATCTGGGTAAGGCCCTTAATGGCCCATGAAGTAAGCATAATTTTTCCTCCTCCCTTCTTTTCTGCCTTTCTTTGCCACTCTACAGAAATGAGAGAACATATTTATAGTTACAGTGACACCAGTGGGGCAGACCATTTACCACATTATGGTTCACATGAGTGGACCACATGAGTTGGGTATAGGGCCAGTGTAACTGCCATACTTGAGTTCCTCTATTCCCCCCTTCCCCCCCCTTTTATTTTTAAGCCCCTGGAGGGGATTTTTTATTTTTATTTTTCAAACTACAAAAACTATCACAGAAAAGGGAAGGGGGACTACATATACGGGACAAAGTATACAAACCCACTACTGACTAAAAACCCAAGATAAGAGATCCTCACTAGCTTAATTACATCAAGTCTTCACTTCATTTAGATCAATATAAACGGAGTCAGACATTTCAGTACTTTTTCCTTTTCATTAACTCTTAAAACTTAACTGTCTAAGAACAGTACCCCCCAGTCATCCCCATTCACAGTTCTCAAAGGCACAATTCAGAGTCTTTCAGCCTTTACTTCTCATTTCCTCATCTCTTCTGCAGCTTATAAGGACTTTTGGGGGCAGCTGCCCCTTGCTCCGTCATCTCCGGAAGAACCCGAGTCCAGCTCACCACTAGACTTGCTGTCCTCTTCTTTTCCCCCATCCTCTGGTCTTCCCAGTTGAACCCTTAGAAATTCTTGGGCTTTCAGAACAGAGTCAATCTTTTCTTTTTTATCCTTAAACTTGAAAGTAACACATTCTGGAAATAGCCATTTATATTCAATTGAGTTTTTCTGAAGGAAAAGCACAAGCTCTTTGTACTTCTTCTCTGTTGTCTTGCTTCAAATGGAATATCCTTTAGCGTTCTGATAGTATTTCCCCCCACTTTCAGTGGTACTCCAGAAACCGCTTTCAGGATTGCATCCCTCACATGCCTTCTCAGGCAGATTATTTTTCTTTATATAGCCTGAATATGCTTGATAGACCACACCCATATCGCTCAGCAATGCTTCTGCCTTCATTTCTGTCACTGGGGCTAGCAATTCACTCATAACTTCTTTAAGATTCTCTCCCGATTTTTCCAGCATTCCCTGTAAGTGAAGAATCATATTAGCCTTTTCCATTTGCACTTGTAACAGTTGGTCTTCCATGGAGATTTGTTTTCTTTCCAGCTTTTGCACTTTCTTCTTCACCTTCTGTGTAGTTGCAGCCACTTCCTTTACCTTCTCAGTATCTTGCTTCATTATTTGCAGCATATCATTTATCTGAGTTTGTTGAGCAGTAATTCTTTGAGTTACTACAGACATCTGTTCCTTGAAGTTATTCAGCTGTTCCAGCAGAAGACGCATATACTCTGCTATAGCCTTAGCCACCTCACTGGTAGCTTCCGTTTTGGGGCTCTCCAGTTTCGCTTTCAAAAGTTTTTCTCTGTCCTTCTTCCCCACCATCTTTATTGATTGTTTACTTTCACTATTTTTTTACAAGTCTCTGAATATGCACTTGACCTCTTAGATTCACTTTGGTAAGTACTTCTTGACAGTTTTCTTCACGTTTTCTTCCGCTCCCCCCCTCTCAGTCACTCAAAAAATCATGTGCTTGGGAGGCGTCCCTCCCCCGCTCGCCTTTTTCCTGTTCAGTGGGGTGGGGTGGGGAGCTAGCCTTTTCCCTTTAAAAACGCTTTAAAGCTGACTCACGTTCATAATTGGTCATTCGACCTTGCTTTCAGCTTCATTTCTGATGCTCGATCTCCCATGCTTGCCCCGGTCAGCGTCATTAAATCTCTCATAGTTGTTTGTTTTCAAAGTTATTGTTCCACAACAAATTGGTTATACTTATGTTACTATGTACTTCAAAATGTGGACATAAAAATAATTTTCAAAAAAAATATTAAATCTCTCACAGCACGGAGAACCATCGGAACGAAGAGGTGCCTCAATTCTCTGGCATTCCGCCCTCGAAGAGGCAGCCTCTTAGAAGTTCCATGGCCAGAGTCCCTTCCCCGGGTCTCTGGGGAGGTAAGCAAGCCTGCGCACCCCCTCCTTTGGCTGGAGCATAGCTTCACCCCTGGGAGGTCCAGGAGGTGAGTCTGCTAGCATGCCGCCATAAACCGGAAGTCGAGTTCCTCTATTCCCACATGTATGTTGCCCAATTCAGAGAGGGACAATGATGCAAATGGCTATGAGGCCCCAATCTTCTTCCTCGTTCTTTTTTTCCTAAGCTGAAATGAATGATTGGAGGGGTAGCATTACTGGAGATGGTGGGAAAACCCTCATGAACACACATGATTCCCCAATAGCAAGATGGGTTTCCCCAAGGTATTGTTTTTTTCAGTCTCATATCTTTCAAAGGAGAAAGATTCCTGTACCAGTTCAACCGGTTTTCTGAGAATCTTCAATCCTCTTGTGTAGAGTAGAGATATCCCCCCCATCCATGCACAAATAATGCTTAACAATACAAAATTTGCAAAATCTATTTTTAAAAAAACTCAGGATCTTAAATCTGCAGCCCCTTCAACATCATTACAGGCAACCCATTCAGAAGGGAACATACATTTTGTTTTATTTTGGAGACTACTTTAGCCTGACACTTTCAAGTTCACTAAGGCTACACACATACACACCGATAAGGGTAGCCTAGGCTAGCCTGATCTTGTCAGACCTCAGAAAATAAGCAGGGTCAGTTCTGGTCAGAATTTGGACATGAGCCCACCAAGGAATACCAGGGTCCCTATGCAGAGGAAGAAAACAGCAAACCACCTCTGAATATCTCTTGCCTTGAAAATGATATCGGACATAATAAGCCAGCTGCAACTTGACAGCAGAAAAGGAAAATG